GAACCCGCGACCCACAGATTGCGAGTCGAGCACCCTAACCACCTGGCCATGCCGGGCCCAACTAATACTAGCATTGTCATTAGGTTTGGGTTATCGTAGGCTCCTTCCTGCCAATAAGACTTTCGTTCGCTACCACTGCTCATCGATTAAGATAGTAAACATCGTATTAAATGAAGGGGAATTTACATGAGAAATTTATAAAATATTATGTTATTAGAGTAAAACTCGAAAACTTTGTCTTTATACAACACAAGTTACCATCGAAATAAGTTCCAATTAATCCTTTTACTCATGCATGATCCATCTTTTAAGAAATTCTCTTACTAGAAGACTTTCCTTTTCAAAAAACAAACTTCTCTAAGAAGATATTATCAAAAACAAAGGCATGGAATATTAAATACTCAAATACGTAGCTATAACTTGTTCAAAATGTTGAATGTTGATTTAAATACTGAAGCCTTCTTTACCGTTAAAGCTTGTTTACGTGAAATGAGCGCACTAGTGATTGTAATGTCGTACTTGTTTATAAAATATTATTCCTATTGCAAAAGCTGTAAGTTGTAATAAAATAATACTCATAATCTGTAGGTAAACTCAAAATACTCCTTGATGACTAGTTCCAAGTAAGTAGCTATGGCACCCACATTTCACCGGCAGAAGTCGTCTATCACTTGAGGGTGTATTACTTTGGATCCCACATTTCACCGGCAGAAGTCGTCTATCACTTGAGGGTATATTACTTTGGATCCCGCATTTCACCGGCAGAAGTCGTTTATCACTTGAGGGTGTATTACTATGGATCCCACATTTCACCGGCAGAAGTCGTTTATCACTTGAGGGTGTATTACTTTGGATGCATTGCTAGGAGATTACATGAAACACCAGAGAAAACGTTGCCAGGAGAGAGGGGCTGACATCATATGATGACTTCATTAACACCAGGGGGCACGTTGCTAGGAAAGGGGTGACATCATGTGATTATGTCTCCAGCATTATTCAATAATTTATTTTGAGTGGCGAAAGTTGCTTGGTACCAGAGCGCGCGTTGCTATGAGAAGAGATACGTCATCAATATTATATATTTTCATTTCTGTATTCTAATATTTGAGAGAGACAAGTATTTCACGGGATATAAATTCAAACAGTAGATTATAATTTTACTCTATGATGAATAAAGGATTCAAACATATCACATACATTACACTTTTAAATCGGCTTTACTTTGACTTATATAAAATCACAATATGTCGATATCATTAATCACAGACTTAACAAGACTGAAACAAATATTAACAATGTATGTTTCACAAAGGTGGATGCCGTTTCTATATGCAGACAGTTTACTATACTTAAGCTAATATCACGGGATGCTAAACACTGTTTAATTATGATAATTTCATCCAATTTTGTAAATTTGTGCTGAAAAGTTTGCAGTGAATGATGAATAAAAACCGTCCACCTGTATGATTCTTTTAAAAA